GCTGACCTAAAAGAGATCAAGGTGGAGGCTGCTGTGTCCCTTATGGCCTAGTTGGGACACAAGTGTTTTCACAGCATCCTGTTAGGCAGACGAGGCAGAGCCCGCTCAGTTGGTGGGGAGGCTGCACGGTGGGGGAAGGGCCGCTGGGAGCTGGCCGCCGTACTTGGCTTAGTGTGTCCGGGACTCTTAAAATAGGAGTAAGAAAGCAAACCTGATGTTTTGTATAACCACTGACACAACTCTGCGGATTTATAGTAATAGAATCGTGAAATCGCAGCGGTCTGTTTTTATTGGCTGTAAGGAGGGGTTAAAGTACATGGGAATCTATTTCTCATAGCGTCTCAAACGGTGCATGGTGTTTCTGAGATTGATTGAAGTTTCAAAATCTGAAGAAGAAAAGTGAGTTGTGGCTTTAGGAACTTTTAATTTTTTAATCAAGGTAGTTTTTCTCCCAAACACTGAAGAACTTTTCTGCTCAGAAGTTTATGTAAAATTCAAGGAGGTGATGGCAGTAGTTTTTACCTGTGACATCGTGTTGTCACCATTTAAAACTGGCTGTTGGCTTTTAAAGGTGAACGAGGGAGCCATTGTGAGGGAACTTGGGAACTGTGTGCAGTTTAGTGGCCAGCTGTTCAGACTTCGATAATTTAGATGCCGGCTTCATCGTGTTTGCACACAAGAGCTGAATAATGAGGCTCATTAAACTCCCTGTGCAGACGCATCCAAGTCATGTTTGCCTGTAACCTCCGAGGCTCCGAGGGGCTGGCGGGGTGCGGGCTGGCCCTTTGTTGACTTGTCAAGCTGTGAGTCTGCATTTCAGGCCAGGCAGCTCATGACCCACTCTGTTTATTTCACCGCTTTGTGGTGGGGAAACAGGTAAAGAAATCCTGCCGAAAATCCCTCCTTCTGCACGTTTTTATGAATAACGCCAGTGTTTATAGCAGGTAGAGCCCCCTGATCAAATCCTCCAAAAGATGTCATGTTAGCAGCGGGGAGCCATTGTGGGACCCAGCCATGGGCGGTGTTGGTTACTGTGGGAGACACTGCTTATTCAGCGGAGCTCTGGAAGAGAACTTACTCTGCAATTAGAGAGGAGGGGGACGCGCGATATTTCAGGGAGGGAGACAGAAGCAAAGTGCTGTCTAGAAGTAGGAGGCAGTAACGATCGGTGATGAAGGCCAGCAGGGATCCAAAGCTGTTTTTACGATGATGCAGTCAGATTAAGTGACGATGGTTTAATCTCACAAGTGAAGAGAAATTGTATCGCTTCATACTGTTTATATCTTTTCTCCATAATATTCAAAATTGAGGAGCTAATAAAAGAGTTGTTCTTAAGACTGTGCCTCCAGTTACCACAAAAGTAACTGAGCAGCTAGAATCAAGAGTAACTTTCAAACTCTAGTGAATATTCTTGTGAAACTCACAATTGTTGGGAAAAACGAGTCACTTTAGAGCCTATATGATACCAATCTCTGCTCTTAGAAGCAGAAAGTTAGGACATGTTCTGTCTCCTCAACACTGATACCCACTTCAGTGTTTTTCCTTTTGATTCTCAGAAAATTTGAATGAGGAAAAAATACATACACACACGTACACCCACACACACACACACATACACACATAAAATCACTGCATACCAAATCTAAAAGGATAATTTAATGGGACTGGAGGGGAACATTGGGCATTTTGGACGGATTATCTTTCTTATGACTTATTTTCATCAAAATGCCGTTTCTCTAAATTGAAAAATAAGAAGGTATATACAAATAGGTATTTCTCAGGTTTCAGGCACTGCCCCGTGAATTGATCAACCACGTGTGTACATCCGTTGGCTGCACTGCTAATGCTAAACCATTCTCATGGTACCGTTCGCAGGCCTTGTCGGTAAGGCAGAAATCTAAGAAAAACAGAAAGAAAATGAAAGGGGATTGGGAAAGAGTCAGGCAAGGCAAACAGTATTCATGATGCTTAACACATATTCAACCTTCAGTAGCTTAAAGCAATTTAAAAGCATCTCCAGATAACGGAACGGAACCTTCACGGTGTGCTTGTACCTCACATTGCTGCCATGATCATGCTTGGCCCAAGAATGGGTAGACAGATGAGGAATTAGAATCCATGGTGACGGGCAGAAATCTCAGTGGTCCTGGAACTCAGTAGATAGTGTGGAAGGAAGGTCGGCAGGAAGGAAAGACTAGAGGAATTGGCCTATTTTAAAATATTTTAAGCAGCAAAAAAGTATTCAAAACTAAAATAATTAGAAGAGCATTCTTACTGCGAATTAGGCATGAAGCTTACTAAAGTTGATACATACGTATTAAGGCACTGTGTTTAATAACTGCAAATAATTCAAAGACAAGTAAGGCACTGCATACCTTACTCCTAAGGAGGGCACCCCCTAATGTGGGTGATAAAGACGGGTGTGCACACAGTTAGGGTACAGAGCAGCCATGGGTGTTGCATTGCTTTGAAAAGACCCAAGGCTATTAATTTCAAAGAAAATACCTGAGAGCATTTTTTATAAATGATCAAAATTCAACCTTTTAAGTAAAAATTAGAACTTTGGAAAACATACCATTACAAGTTGACAGCTCCTCAATAATTTAAGACATTTTTGATGAAATGATGGTAATGCCAAGTGTGATTTTCTAAAATATTGTATAATGTGTAAATATTTAAAAGAGCTGCATAATTCAGTGAACCAGTATTCTCAGTGGCCAATGCATGATGTTATAAACTCATGCGTAGGTAAAATGTCTGTTCACACAGATCAATGGATTTTAATGAAGCAGAATACAAAAAGCTTACTGATACAGCTTCAGATTGCATATTGCAGCTAACTGGTACAAAACTACCACTTGTTGCATTTTGGTGTAGTAGTAAAGAAGAATTTACACAATTATCTGAAAAAGCCATTAAAACACCCCTCCCTTCTCTAGTTACATATGCATACATCAAGGAGCTTTGCAGAAATACAAAACTGCCAATCTTCTCACAAAACTGTTTTGTTTTGGAAAATATATTTACTTTTCATTTAAAGAAAAGTTATCTGTCAACACATAATGGGTTTGTAATTGCTACTTTGAATTGAATTCAATAATTATTTTAAAATTTCTCTTTCAGGTTTTAATATGGTAAATATTGACAGATGCACATTAAAGTTCTTTGGGTTTCTCAGTAATTATAAGGTTTAAATGTAAGATTGTGAAGGGACCCTAAGACCAAAAGATTTGGAGATTTGCTACCTTAGAACTTCTCTTAGTGAGGGTCCACGGGTGGCACATCCTCAGATTTTGTTTGCCTGAAAATGTTATCCTTATCCTTTTTTTTTCCCTTGACTTCATTATTTTTTTAATTTATTTATAATCATACTATACAATGTTGTGTTAAATTCCAGTGTAGAGCACAATTTTTCAGTTATACGTGAACATACATATATTCATTGTCACATTTTTTTCTCTGTGAGCTACCACAAGATCTTGTATATATTTCCCTGTGCTATACGGTATAATCTTGTTTATCTGTTCTACATTTTGAAATCCTGTCTATCCCTTCCCACCCCCGCCCCCTTGGCAACCACAAGTTTGTATTCTATGTCTATGAGTCTGTTTCTGTTTTGTATTTATGCTTTGTTTGTTTTTGGTTTTGTTTCTGTTTTTTTAAATTCCACACATGAGCGATCTCATGTGGTATTTTTCTTTCTCTTTCTGGCTCACTTCGCTTAGAATGACATTCTCCAGGAGCATCCATGTTGCTGCAAATGGCGTTATGTTATCAGTTTTTATGGCTGAGTAGTATTCCATTGTATAAATACACCACCTCTTCTTTATCCAGTCATCCGTTGATGGACATTTAGGCTACTTCCATGTCTTGGCTGTTGTAAATAGTGCTGTTATGAACATTGGGGTGCAGGTGTCATCCTGTTATCCTTATTCTTGAAAGATATTTTCAAAGACAAAACTTGTCTTTAGCATATTGAAGATGTTATTCCACTGTCTTCTAGATTTTATCATTGCTGTTGAGAAATCCGCTGTCACCTGTTTCTTCTTTGAAATTACTTGTTCTCGTTCCCCCTTGGGCTCCTTTTAGACTTCTCTCTCTTTGTGCTGTTTCATAGTTTGACTCTAATGTGTGCAGGTGTGGGTTTCTTTTTATTTATCTTGCCTGGGATTTTCTGGGCTTCTGAAGTCTGTGAGTTAGTATCTTTCATCAGTTCTGTAAACCTCCTGGAGGAGGGATGCAGACCAGAAGCAGACATGGCCAAGAGCTGACGCCTGCGAATCTTTGCTACGTAAGCTGTTGTGCTGTTTTTTTCTCTACTTGGAATGGTACTTTTTCCCCCCAAATAAAGGAACTTCGTTAAAAAAGAAGAAGAAGAAGTAGAATTTTAGAATCAAATAGACCTCGGTTCAAAGCCTGCCACCCAGTTACCTAAATTCCCCCCTCTAATCCTGTTTTGGTGTCTATAGAACGGGGTCACGGTAGCTCTGGAGTTGTGAGGACTGGATGAGGTGATGTGCGTAAGGCTCCCAGCATGCTATCTGCCTTCTAGAGGCGCTCAGTAACTGGTACTTGTCACTGACTTATCCAGGGTCACATAGCCAGCCTGGGGAAGACATAGGGCTGGGACTCGGGTACCCTGACTCTGAGCCTGGTGCTTCCTCCACCAGCTCAGAGCCTGAGCTCTGAGACTAAGACTGAGAAGAGACAGCCCAGCACACGGCTCTAAGTAGGAGCTGGTGGTGTCACCGGGAAAGGAGCTGGAGCTGCTGCCTCCCTCCCGGGGCGCCTCACTCCTGCTACCTAACGTACCTCCTGGCCGCGACTGAGTAAGTTGAGAAGCAGGTTGGTGAAGGGCCTTGACCCCTGAGATCTGTCCCATCCCTGGACTTTCCAATAAAGGATTCTGCTGCTAGAAGAACAGAGTGATTTTTGTGGTAATATTTTGAGATATTTGGCCTGACTCAGCTGACTTTTCCTTTTCTCTCTTTTGTTGACAGTGTCATCAGCAAAGTGGTTCCAGCCCCCGAGGCTAAACCCGCGCCCTCTCTGAACAGACCCAAGACGCCACCGCCTGCGCCAGCCCCAGCCCCCATCCCCATGCACGTCACCCCTGCCCCGGTGCCTCTGCCACTGCTGGCACAGGCCACCGCGCCCCCTGCTCTGATGCCGGCTCCATCTCCTGCCATCTCCGGAGCTGCAAGTTCCAAAGCGCCTGTCCGGAGCGTGGTAACGGAGACCGTCAGCACTTACGTGGTGCGCTGCTTTTTATCTTGGGGGTACTTAAGAAAAAGTCACTTAAGAGCTCACTCTTTTATCATGAAAATGTTTTCAATTAAAAAGCAGTGTCCCATGTATCGTTATTGAATTTCAGGGGCTATTCTTTATGGCAGGAAAGGTATTTTCATTGCATTTTCAAGCTTTCGGCGGAAAACCATTGTGTTACAGTGTTTGCATATTTAGTCTCCATAAATAATGTCAAAGCATTTTCTTTATTTTGCATTGTTTTGCACTCTGACTATATACATAAATACAACACTATCTGTATAAATAAGAGATGAATAGTGATATTTAAATCCCACGTTGAATTTCTTGATCAAGCAATTAAAGTATTCACTTAAGAGTATAATTTATGTGATGTGCGCACGTCTGAGGCACCAGCTGCTTTTTCTGTAGTAACAGCACTAATTACAGCGTCTCTTCGGCTGAGGTCCTGAGTATACCAAGGCCCGCACAGTAAACACAGATGAACTTGCAGACCGCAGACCTTCCCGAGCCCGAGCCTGCCGGCAGGTGGGAACACTCACCTTGTGGAATGAGCTCGCGCCGGCGCCATGGGGCTGTTCTCGCGTGTTTTCTCCACACTTAACAGCATCAGGTCTTACTCAGATGCTGAATCCAGTCGAGTAACGAAGCAGCTACGCAAATACGCTCTTCAGGCTCCGTGGAGTGACACGCAAAGTCACAACAAAAAGATTCCAGGCACGTGAAGGCCCTTGGTGGACTGACACTGCCGAGGCCGCGGAATACGCGGGCCAAGACCTGTCAGCCCAGTGGCGGCTGGGAGCCCTCCCAGCAGATGTGCCCGGGGGGCGGCGGGCTCGGACTCCTGCTGTCGCTCTTAGAAGCCGTGCAAAGACGACAGCTCTATAAAAGCGCCCTGGGCGGAAGTTTCAACAGATCGTTAAATATTTGAGGCACTAAAATGATAGCAAAGGGTAAGAAAATCTCAAAAGAATTCAGAGAGGATATAAAGACATGAAAAAACAACAGGAAAATACTAAATTGGCAATTCAAGACAAAACAGAAGATGAAGTACAAAAATCTTGATCATCAGATCGGCCCATTCAAGGGCCCAGTTGCTCCAGGTGTTTATTAAGGCCACTTCACCCCAAGGCGGGTTGGTCAGGGGAGATTTGACACAAGCCCCCCAACCTCCGTGTTTTCAGATGGTCGCTGTGGTGTGTTCTAGCCCTAAATTTTCTGACTCTGCAGTGGAGTGTTGAGTTCACTCTCTGGAGATGCATCAGATTTGCAGACAACATGGACACTTTGCAGACAGAAGACAAAATGTGTGATTTGGGGGAAGCGCACAGACTAGAGAGTAAAAGGGCCAGTTTTGTCACTACTTAATCGAGCGACATTGGAACTGTCACCGACATTCCCTTAGCTCCAGCTGCCCCATCTGTACCCTCTCTAAGCCTTGTTTTAGGGTGATGAAGCTGACCCAGATATTTGAAAGAACCGAGTACACCGTGAAGGGCCAGGTGTTGGTTATTGGCCATGGGGCTGGCCATGCTCGGCGGCCTCAGGGCCCCGAGTGCCGGACCGGCCCGCACCCGGACCGGTGGCCCAGGCTCACTGGTGGTCTCTCCCCTCAAGACTGGGGAGGACTGAGTCAGGGATGCAGCTGCCCAGGGGTTTGCTGAGGAAGCTTTCACAGCATCCTCTGCCTCTGCAGAGTCTGTGTCAAGAATGTCAGCCTTAAAACAACACATCAGGGGGATGTAACACCTGTGTCCCCGGGCCCCCCACACCCAGGGAGAGTCAGTTCTCCCCCGCCTGGCCCCACACGGCCCTGCAAGGCAGCAGTAAAGTACAGGAGGAACCACCGAATGAGACGAGGTGCTGAGTTACTGCGCAAACCTCAGAAAATCAACTTTTCGTCATTGCTGGGTTTCAACGCCCATCATAGAATTGTTTCTTTCAAATCGATCTCGTTGACATGCAGTTTGAAGAAGCAGTTCAATTAGGGAGCCTCCTTATTTGGAACTGCTGAGTTCAGGGGAGCCGACCCCAGAGCGCCCCGCGCATCTGTGGCAAAACAACGGGAAAACGTGTAGCCCCTCGGCCTCCCGCCTCCCTTTTTTGCTTGCCCTTTCGTTGATTGTACTTTACTGAAAATGTTATAAAGGGAATGGAAAGTTACTAAGTAACAACTCTTTTATATCCTTGATCTTATCAGCTAGTTCAGGAGAAGGGCTTGGCTAATAAGTAATAAGGTGATACCTGCACATTGGCCGTATTTATTAATTCCAGGCCTGTGAATGCGACGTTAGTGAGCTCCGTAGCTTTCAGAAATACCATCATCCCTGCTGCAAGGACGCTGGTCGGGGGAGGGGAGAGCTCAGTGGTAGAGGGTGTGCCAGCATGCACAAGGTCCTGGGCCCAGTCCTCAGGGCCGCCGTATAGATAAATAAACCAATTACCTACCCCCCCCCCAATTTAAAAAGTTTCTAAAGCAGTAAAATTAGGTAATATTCATTCAAACAAAGACTCTGATCATTCAGAACTTAACATGTTTACAGTATTTTTTAGATAAAGGTGGTGATAGATCAGACTGCTCCCAGAAGTGATTATAAGATGCTTTGTTCTCTGATTTACAGGAGAGAGTTTAAGATATTCATTAGAATTGTCTTATCACTGGACACTTAGAAGACATTTTCTTTTTCATGTGATCCTAGGAGAGTAATAACCAAGATTCCAGCTTTCATAAATTGTTGACTCTTGTTTGTTGGGTTTTTTTCTCTAAATTTAATCCGTGGGATTATTGGCTTCACAGTATAACATGATTACCCTTGTCCTGCCCTCTGTGGGGTTCTTCCTCCTCATCCCATCTCTGTGTTTGCTCCCTCCCTGCTTCCAACCCAGATTCGAGATGAGTGGGGGAACCAGATCTGGATCTGCCCCGGGTGCAACAAGCCAGATGACGGGAGCCCCATGATCGGCTGTGATGACTGTGACGACTGGTACCACTGGTGAGTCCCACTCAGGCCCTGGAGGGGCGGGCTCTGGACCCCCACCCCGGGTTTCCTCCCAGCCCGGGTGCCGCCCTAAGAACAGTGCCAAGCAGAATCCCTGCACCAAGGACGTGCGCGTATTGGTAATGCCAAGATTGAGCATCTTTGGACTACTGTTACTCAGCCTAAATTCCAAATATTGTGCTTAGCTTCCGTATCCTTCTTGTTTAAAAAAGATAAAGGAGACACAGGGGCTCCCTTTCCTGTCTCCCCAGTGATTTTCCATCACAGCTGCAGTGGCTGACAGCGGCCCTGTGGACATGTCACAGACTGCAGAAGTGAAGGCACAGCTTGCCTGGTTTTCGCACCTCCCCAAACCTAAGAAACACCATCACGATACAGGCAAAGACTCTTCCCGTTTTATCTTTAAAATATCAGATATAGAAAGATAGAAATCCATTTAGCCACCCGTATATATGGTATCTCTGAGATAAAAACCAAGCCGTGACTCAGAAGATTTCGCGCTTTCCAGCTGGAGGGACGAATGAGCCAGGTAGTTTTTGTCCTGTGGGGCCTGGGGCCCGGGGCCCGGGCCCGTGGGAGGCGGCCACGCACCTGCCTGCCCAGCGAGAGGTCGGCATCAGTCAGAGCTGGTGGGCGTGGATTTCCGGCAAATACGACACAGAGTTGAGAATTAATATTTAGTGACATAGAAGTTTAAAAACACAGAAAAAGGGTATGTGTAAAAACCAAGCATATTTGTCTGAACTCTTTCCCTTGGTCGCCACGCAGGCCCTGCGTCGGGATCACGGCCGCGCCCCCCGAGGAGATGCAGTGGTTCTGCCCCAAGTGCGCCAACAAGAAGAAGGACAAAAA